GCTCCAGGAAATCTGCTCCCAATATGGTTTGTTTCGCATCTGGTGACACGAGAAAGAAGTGTGTTCGCTTTCGTCCCCCGATTCCCACGGTGTGTTCGGCTATCCCATCAATTCCCACTGAATGACCGCCAACCGCTCTTACGATCGTGCAGCACGGCTGAAGCTTTTCACCTCGCAGATATTTGATTAGTGACACCGCGGCACCCGTATCGATCAGACACCTTTCCATCGTTCCGTCTACTTCCACCATTGCTTCAACCGCACTCCTGCTCAACGCCCCAAGTACACAATCCTCGATCCGAAAAGAGAAATAAGGTTGCACACGTTTATTCGACACTCGAGTAACACCACGCCTCTGCGGACATTGTCTCTTCCAGTGCCCCGGTTTACCGCAGATGAAGCAACATTTCTTTGTGCGCACCCGATAACGCTGAACGTGAAGCCCATTGATGCCTTCCGTAAGCTGTTCCATCATCCGTTCCAATTTGTCCATCCGTTCCACATTCTCATGAGGCTCTTCCTTCAGCGCAGCTAGTGGTGCGTCGCCCAGGTCTCGAGTAATTTGCGCCAACTCCTCCAATTGCATTTTCCGAGTAGCATTCGCAATCCGAACGCGCTCCGCGGTTGGCTGTGGGAGGACGGCCAAAAACTGATCCACCAGCAACTGCGTCTTTGACGGCCCATCCAACCCCGGCAAGGCGCGGTCCAACAAGTTCCGCACCGCAAACACGAGGGGATCCGTCCCAGCACCAAGCCGCGACGCCTTGAACCGTCGCATCGCCTCCTGGCGGTCCGCTGGCGTGTCCAGGCCAGACAGCAACGCTTCCTTCGCGGCGGTCCACTCCAACTTGACCGGATCTCTTCGCGCCGCCTCCAGAACCACCTTCGCCCTGCCCGTGAGGAGACTCCGCAGGGCCGCCATCTTCGCCCGGTCCGTCTTCAGTCCTACCGCCTCTGCCATCTACTCGAAATCCTTCAAAAACGCCTTCACATCCCCGTCTTCAAATGGTTCCGGCCATGGAATCTTCATGACTTGCGAGGTCACGGCACCAAATGTTAGAACCCAAGGGGCAGGCGGTAACTTGTTTATTGTTAAAGTGGCTTACACTAGGTGTGTTCGTTCATACTACACTACTTATACCCGGCGCAGTAGTATCTACCTTTAATCCCCCACAACTCTACGGGACCGGTTAAGCTTTAGCTTTTCTACACGTGTAAAACCATTCTTCCATTGTTCAAACCGTAAGACGTGATTTGTGAGACAACACAGTGGTTACCGACAGTGTGCGGCGGCCACCCTGCGTACTGCAGCATGTGACCGACTCTAAACCAAACGTGGTAGCACCAAACGTGCCATCTGGCTACCGGTTGATTTCGTTTACTTTGCTACATGTTTGCGATTGATGCGATCGCACGAAGCGACCGAGCCATTACGTGATTTATATTTCCCGTCGTTATAACTCGGAATCGCAGGAGGAATTTCCAGCTTAAACCGGTTTTTTCCGCTTATTCACCGAAGACCTGATCGTAAATATATAACGCGCTAATCGAATTTCACTTCCAACCAGCGCTGCCTAGTGAAAACTAAGCATTTAGGATAGTATAAGCTCCCCTACAGTTGCTTAAGCAGGTAGTGTGGTGGAGAGTGCAGACGGAAACGGAGTACAGGCGAAAAATTGGAATAGAGGCTGAATGGCCGGTAAAAATTAACTGAATAAAACGGTAGAAACATGGATGTCACTCCGGTAAGTAGGCTACTGGAATGGTCATTTGGCATCAGCCATAGGGTCGACCACCGGCCGAGAGGTCTGAGCACCTGGTTTGCAACCATAATGTCCCCAGTAAGCGTGCAGTAGCGAACATTTGGTGTGAAAAGATCATGCACTCATTCGCATTCTCTTAACGGCCGGTGGCCGAGTGGTCTGAGCTCCTAGTTTGCAACCATAAGGTCATCGGTTCGAATCTACGTTGGGGGTGGGTGTCCTCGCGGCATACCCAGCCCGCGCGCGACTGGTGGTGGTCGCGCAGTAGCGAAGCATCGTTACGGCGTACAGCTGGCGATTTATTTTATTTATTCTTCAACCTTCCTGATTTCCGTTTTCTCATACGAAGTCGTGCTGTTTCTAACTATCGAAACCCCCTAAATCTGAATGCTATACGATCCGCATTTCCCACTTACCATGTATGTTTCCAGACGAATGGCATATGATGATATTCATCACAGAAACTTACGGTCTTTAGCCAAAGTAGTGAACATCGCCTATCTGGTTGGCAGTGGCAACCCGACCAAGGGACATCTTTTGTAGAGTTGCAGTTGCACAGATACACGCCTTTTATATAAAATGAAATAGTTGCAAACCCCTTCGAATACGCCGAAGACGCTGGGATTGTTGTTGAGTGCTCATTTTCCATCGTTAGTAGATTAGATAAATAACGGATGCATTGATTGAATTGAAGGATGCACAAAGTCCCTGTACCTTACAATAAACGCCAATGTGTAATGTGATAAAAGATTTATTGTTGTGGTATTGATCTGATGTGTTATGGGCGAGCAAGTTTATCCACTACTAAGTATCTTGTCTCTCTTTGTCTAGTGTTTGTTCAAGAAAGCACACTCGTGAAAATTCATATAAACTCATGTAATGTTTCATTTCACTCAGGTTAAGGGTCTAAAGTATTCAGCAGTCCGACATACACATCCACAATGGCTGCGCTATATTTCTGTGGTTTGCTTGCTCATGCAACTAACGGGGCAAAGTTCGAGGTAAAGTAGCGTCAAGTCAAGTGTTTATGGGATTGCCAGTATACAACGGCATGTATGCTTATTCGTTCTAATAAACTAAGTGACCTATTTCATACCCAGGAGTTACTGAATCACTTATTAGTGTCGGGTGGACTCTGGTGTAATTCCTCCTTCCCCCTCCCCCCAGACCTGACGCGCTTGCCTGTCGTCCCAATGAGAGCTATCCATGGATTATGCGGTTGTTAACTTGGATAGAATTTTAAAACATTATTTGTAGTGGAAACATTATAGTGTTGCTCACCCCAACACTGGCACCCCAAGACCGCGGTTTCGTCCTGGTTGGGACTCATCAGTTCGAGATAGCCTGAGTTGGGCCGGAACTCAGAGTCTAGTGGCTCATGGTTGACACCATAAGCACTATGCCACTGAGATCCACGAGCAACGTTTGGTCCAGCGAGAACGAATGCAAAGTTGGACTTGGAGGCTCCGCTGGTGGTTGGGTTGCTACAAGCAACCTCTATTGAGACCTCGGTTCACTTGGGGTGGACCTCGGTCATTCCGATCACAAAGACCGTAAGTAAAATGGAAACATTATAGTGTTGCTCACCCCAACACTGGCACCCCAAGATCGCGGTTTCGTCCTGGTTGGGACTCATCAGTTCGAGATAGCCTGAGTTAGGCCGTGAACTCAGAGTCTAGTGGCTCATGGTTGACACCATAAGCATTATGCCACTGAGATCCGCGAGCAACACTTGGGCCAGCAGGAACGAATGCAAAATTGGACTTGGAGGCTCCGCTGGTGGTTGGGTTGCTACAAGCAACCTCTATTGAGACCTCGGTTCACTTGAGGTGGACCTCGGTCATTCCGATCACAAAGACCGTAAGTAGTGTTGGACGTTTGGAAATAATTGAGCATCGCCACAAGATAAATCGCAGCATCATTGAGATTACATGTCGCAGTCCAAAAACATGGTAGTAAAAAATGCTGAATTGCTAACTGTTGCGATAAGCGACATAAGCAGAGAGGATTGGAGCCACAATACTAGTTATTTCGAACTGAAGAGTGCAAGTGGGGAAGAAACGCGTTAGAACGCAGCGATGAGTCTGGTCAACTAATGAAATATAAGGTAAATTGTTTGCTGATGGCGAGTACCAACATCCAATGTAATGTTTCGGCTAGATCACAATTTCTCGGCTTCCTAAAAGACACTCATTCGAGTGTACAAAGTTGACAAAGCGATAAAATCAGTTGTAAGTCAACATCGTTTGCTGACTGAGATGCTATGTAATCGCGATTAATGAAAAAGAGCAGTAGAGGACCGGAATTTGAGGCCATGGATCGGCATTTCCAGCAGAAGTACTTGACGCCATCGGTTTTGATCCCCCTGTCGCAGTGGCTGTGGATAACAATGGGACGGCTGCGGGTACAGGGAAGAAATGAGTGGCCCGAGATGTACCGTTCACAAGCGCTATGCCTAGTGGCAACCCGAAGAAATAATGTTACGGGGTAGGCGGTTAGGAGCCACGATTGATTTGGAGCCGGCTCACAGGAAACAGAAACACGTAACACTCACAGGTGGATAGTACGAAAAGGCAGATGTAAGGATTACAAAACCCCTTATTTACAGTTTCCGCAACTTCACTTTACCAGCAATATGAGATCGAAAAGTGACCAAACGAGTTAAGCTGATAGAGACCAACTAAAAGATGGTGGCAAGTTCAACACCCGATGATGCAATTAAGTTCATCAGAGTGCAGTTGATCGCAAAGTAGCAACAATAAGGAAAGATTATGATAATACAGGAGGAATGGATGAGAAGCAACGCAAGACGGTCGGTGACTTCACGATATCCGATATGCTCTTTAATCACTGATGAGGTCGGCCCCGAAATCATTCAAGAAAAGGACAAGGGTCACCTTCTAGCCTTTCGGTTATGGTCTTAATGTTATGTCGTTGACTAGCCATCTCAAGATTTCCGTTCACCAAGATCAGTAGTTGAAAAGACATTCCAACTTACGATTACATGCAATAACTACTAAACAACGATGACCGCGGTAACGTCGATGGAAAGGAAGCGCCCAGCCTGGTGAGCACAGATCCATGCTAATTTGCTTAGTAGTCTGCCTTTCAGTAGATCGCACGATTTAGAAGAAAGAATACAGAAACTCATTGCAATCGCAAAAAGCCGTGTCGCATGACCTACATACTCGAGAGACATCTGAAGTGAATAACACGGAATACACAAACTGGGCTTACTTGTGCCCACTACGGCTGAGCTTTGGTACCGTAAAAGACCTGGTCTGGTCCCCGAGAATGAGATTTTCGACCATGAATGAGATTCCAGGTCGAAAACGGGCATCTGTGTTGGATACAAGTAGGGAAGGCGGGAAATATAGAAATCTGGGTGGAACAAGCAATTTGGCCTCAATGCGCTTCAAAATAAATCAAAACAATACAAAGAATAATAATATATCGTAGATTTAGACTAAGCAATAATGCCTATCCTATTGAAACAAACAGCAACATACCGGCCACAACGGATGTGTAATATCTGCGTTTCCCCCAGCAATAATATACAGCTTTCTGTCATGAAGTGCGGTGTCATGTCGATATCTGAGTAGAGGAAAGAAACAAAGAAGGATACGGATCACGCTTGCTATCAAAGATGTAAAGAATGAACATCCGAGCTCTGATTATAATGATTAACAGTAAGATGAGAATGGATGGTCATCAAGCTGATGATGCCATGCTGTCAAAAATATCAAAGGAAAACCCATCACTAAAGGATGAACAGATAGGAGATTAAAGAACTAGCGTCAGACCTAAATCTATTGGGCAAATATTCAAAACAAAGGTGTGAATAACTTGCGGACATCACAGTCAAAAATAGCCAGATACTCCTTGAAGATAAAGGCATCAATTGTAGGAAATAGCTCTTTTGGCCTTCAATGCCTCGGTTCATAATCGTTTATACACACATACACAGACACACATCGATATACACAGATTCAATAACAACGCGTACCACTGGTCCTAGATAAGTGCCAATTCCTGAAACGCCTTGAGCTAATGTTAGTGGATCTATTCCGGAAAAAGCAGACGAATCGACATCCGTAGTTTACTTACCACCGATTCCATTTACTGCTGTTAGACTAGTTGTTGTGATCTTCGAACCCCAAGCCACTTTTAACGTGGTGGACAAAACGGGATCCTCATTGTTAAGTAGCGGAGAGGCATAAGTAGCACGGAATCCGATTGGGGCAAACGATCGCGGCCAATTTGCTGTTCTAAATAGTGAGATAAACAACACCGCCGTACTCGATCATGTGTGTCATCATTGTAGACAGCCTGATGCTACTCGATAAAGGGGGCCCTCGTAGGAAACGGTAGTGTTGTAGAACTCAGTCCTTCGGAAACAAGCTTTTATTCAGCAATCAACTCAGCGAAAATTACAGCATGTTTGGTAAGCCAAACTCCTCGATATAAGTTGCACGTGCATACCCCTAAGTAATGACCCTTTTGAGTCGATGACGTTCTTCCTTTGACTCAATTAAACAAACGGCAAATAACACACGCATGTCGGCCAATCCGGGTACAGTAATCGAATCCGTTACGCCCGTCTCTCGTTGGCTGTATGGCTCGCTTGGCTGGTCCATCCGTTCACTCTGGTATGATACTCCCATCACATAGGACATAAAGGTACATGTGATGGTAGGACTGGGGGAACCCAAACCACATCGCCGCATAAAAAATATACCTTAGCGTGGTCGTTTCATAAGACGCTTAGGGGTGTCGCATGATTAGTATGAAATCAGAAGTGACCAAGCTCGCAAGAGACACAAGGTACTTAACTGTCACTGTTAAAGCAACAGCTCTCCACAGCTACTCGTCGTCAAGAGTCAGAGTCTGCAAGTGGCTTGTGGTCCTGGAACAGCACATAATAGATTGAAAGTGGAAATGTATGTTAGATAATCTGACCATTTTAGTTGGTCTACAGAGCGCTGACTATGCCGTCATCCGAATGTTAATTAAAAAGACAAAAACGTTGGGGGAATTTGGATCACGTAGTTTTCCTATAAGCAGTAGCCCAATAGCGTGTTGTGACGCCGTGTGAAAAAATGGATCAGTCACCGTGAACGATACCTGTGGGAAGGTGTCCTGTGACTAGTGCAAATCTTGACGCAATCTGACACCAATGTAAGGGAGAGCAGCTGCGGAGAGCAAGATGGATCACTTTCACAAAACTGAACCGTCCTACCACATGCTTCAGGTTACGTAATCCACAGGAAATTAAATGAGAATCCATTAAAGTTTACCAAGATTGGATGATCAACATCATCAGCTACAAGTTAGCCAGAGGGGGAACACGTTAGCTATTGCGTCGGAATACAAAGCAATTAAATGTTTGTAAAATGTTAAGGAAAAATAAGAAGCGTTACGTTGTCTCTAGTACGAACCAAGAATGAGATTGGGACTGCATAAGGAAGCTAAGCGGGATGGGAAGGAACAGAGAAAATCACAACACAAACGCGACTGAGGTCGGCTCTCCGTTACGTCAAAAAGTGTCCAACCGAACATGTTCCTCATCTATGGGATCTTAACTTAGAAGCTGCGAGGCACCAAACCAAAACAGTTTTGAAGTGACAGCTTTTTTTCTTCCCCTCTTATTGCATCCAAACGCTGGTTGTACAAACAAGCCAGTAAACGGAGGTTGATGTACTGGTATTCGTAAGGCACGTCCTAGCCATCGGAGGCTGATGAGTGAAAGTACAATTCGGAGAGACTCCCTCTTTCTACGCCGCAAACAAGACGCAAAGTACGCTTATTGCTCATACGGTGTTCATACCAGTGGTCGAACGCAACTAGCCTACATACGTCTGTTGGCCTGGTGGGCGAGGTTTCGCAGTCGCACAGAAGGGTTAAACCGACGGCGGCGTTATAGACTTTACCCTACAGGATGATTGAGATATCGCGCCTATGTTATAATCAGCGAAAATTACCTAAAGTGTCTAAGGTTTCCGCTATACAGGCTTTATCTCATCTTTTTCAAGAGGGCCGATATAGCTGTCTAGACGGTTCTCACCAACTGTTAGCGCGGAATTTGGTCCTTTCCAATCCTTAGGGAGAGTTTGGTATGTTGAGTGCAAAACACAATCAAAAATGATTTGCATCCTCTGCCACTCTATCTCGCGTTATTTGGTAGCTTTTCAAGCCGAAATGTCCTCAGTGTGATCCTAGAATCAACTCTACACTTGAATAGAGCCCGGGAAACGCAGTTTCGTCATCAGGAGTGCTGAAAAACAATTCTGATAGCGGGATCCTTGCCTCACATTGCTGAGAACATTGAAGCACGGCGACAGTTTGTTCTCACTCAATCGGACCTAAGTGTGTGAAAAAATATTCTTATGTCAACGTACTTCCTAACCATTCAGTTCCAAAGAGTACACCGATCCACTGAATGAAAGGCAAATTGGGTTTCGAGAAACGTCATCGTAGCGGTGTTCAGTCCAATGTTCCAGGCGTTTTGACAGGTTGTGCATAAAACCTCAAATCTCGTCGGATGTAGTTCCGTTAACATCAAGCCTCCGGGTGTCTGTTTCCCGTATGAGACGGAATAACGTACGATGATTACTAATAGCAGTGACCGTTTCCAGTTCTGATGCCCGTTAAAACAACCAGGCTTAGTGATTTCCCCTCAGGCTATCACAAAAAGATGCTGTGGATCCGTGCGAGTCTCGTATTTGCTTCTAACCGGAATGCGTCAGCAAGCGTCCAGTAGTTCCAAAGACTGCGTAGAGATTAATTGTCCAGGACAACAATTGGATTTTCCACAAGAAGACATGTCTGTTGCCAATAGCGTCTGGCGCACACGCGACCAGTGACTTTAAACTGTGGTCAGTGAGCGCATGCCAAACCCGAATGCTAGCGTACTTTGAGAGGTAATAAGAGCATTTGGTTTCGCCAGTTGATAAATGTCTACGTGCCCACAGCCTTGACAAAACCATCCACCGAAATGTACCTGGAAATCGCCACATAATGGCGCAGGGTCAGAGCTCCCACTTGTGCACCAAATCGAGCGACAATTTTGGACGCGATGTGATCGATCTGCATCTATGGCTGGTCAGATGGTGCTGGGTAACTTTGCAGTGCGTGCTGTCAAAAGTAATTACTCGCGAGAAACGGAAAAGCATCTTCCCACAAATGTAGTAACCGATCACTAAGGTGGACTGAGTGAGGAAAAACTATTTAGCAACAACCCACCTTAACATATTAATATCGCGAGTGATAAGCTGCGGGATGTGGGCACTAAGAAAACTAGGAAGTATCATTTCTTCGCTCAAATTCGCTGCTAGTAACCCTTCTTCTCATGCTTTTTTGCCTTTTGTAGATTGCCTGCCCCCAGTTTAACTGGAAGGCTATCGGTGCCAACGCATCCGGAGGCTGAAACCTAAGAACGTGACACGGTTTCGAGACGCAAAGTGGGGCTGCGGTAATTACGCAGGGAAACTGATGAAATCAGTCCGTCATCATGATACATGTTGCTACACGACAGCCGGGAGTGAGAACGACGATAGCTGGAAAAGGCGGACAGCTAGTAGGTTTGGAAGATGTTCAGACAAGTGACGTAAGTCAGCTCAGAAACGGGCAGCCGGAGGTGATGGCATGTGACCTATAACATTAACCGTGCGCTGTTTCTAATACACTTCAATTTGGCAGGCTTCTGTGTTTTGTTTCTTCCCCGGCTGGGTTGGCGTGGCAGAGAGCAGAGGGAGGGCAGCGTTACAACAGTGGCGACGCGATTTTCAATCGAACTCAGAAATGGCAGTCAGCTTCAAACAACTGCAGGCACTTGCAGCAGCAGACCAAGCTCAGTGAGATGTTGACGCAGAAGCTGTCGATACAGTCAAGCCCAGGGTTAGGGGCAAGTGGAAGTGTTCCCTTTCCAGAAACCCTGACTCAGCAGATCAGTGAATTCCATTATGATGCGGATGCTGGCGTGACATTCGCTTCCTGGTTTCACAAGTATGAGAACATATTTCGTGTTGATTTCGCAAATGTATTAGAAGAAAATTCGCCTGATGCTCCGGAAGCTGGGTGCGGCTGAACATGAAAAGTTTAAAATTTCATCTTGCCAAAGAAGAGCACTGACCTATCCCTGGACGAAGTTGTCTCAGTCCTGTCACAAATTTTTGATGAGCAGACATCCTTGTTCAACATCCGGTACAAGTGTCTCACGATGGCCAAGAAAGAAGAAGATTGGGTCACCTACTCGAGCCGTGTAAATCGCGAGTGCGAACGTTCACAGTTTCACAAAATGACCGCCGACCAGTACAAGTGCCTCATTTACGTTTGCGGCCTACAAGCAGCCAAAGATGCAGACATACGAACAAGAATACTGAGCAAGATTGAACAGAATCCTGACATCACATTGCAGCAAGTGACCGGTGAGTGCCAGAGAATGACGAACCTGAAGCATGATACATCAATGATTCAGCAGTTGTCCAATACGAACGAGCATGACCTCATTTGTGCAGTCAACCGGACTCCCCAAAAAGCACCAACTCACGTGAGTCCATCACATTCCAAACCTCCCTCTGCTTGTTGGTTTTGTA